GAACCAGAAAATTGACTAATCCAATGAGTTTTCCCACCTTCATGATTCATTGGTTATATTGCAGCAATGTAACCAATGAACATCCAATGGCTGCCTTGTCTTCCTTGCATAGATCTTAAGTGAGAGAGCAGTGCCAAGATAAGAGCGGAGCCTGGATCTCCAGGAAGTCTTGAAATGAGTTCAGTAAGGTCAAGGTTTCAGGTCACTCCCTGTCTAGGTAAGCTGAGGAAGGCTGCTATCAGAGCAGCTATGTAGGCCTGAAGGTATGCCATCCAAACTGTAACTGTGATATACCCATCTCTACACAGCAAGTGACTACCAGAGGCCATGCCTTGAAGGGGGTGCAAGGACTGGGATATCAGTCATTATTAATTGAGTTCAAACCCCACTTTGTGGCTTTAGAAGATTATCTAATTTCTCTGAGTCCATGTCTGCACGTGTCTGCATGTGTCTAAGCAGGAGTTAATGGTAGTTGCCTTTCAAACTTGTTAGGAGAAGGAAATGAGAAAATATAAAGAAATGCCAAAATCCTTTCCAGGCAAAGTGTTGGTGCTTGGGAACTGTGAATTCTTTTCTAACACAGATTAGAAGTGTCTGAAAAAATTAAAGAGAGTAAGGGATGTGCTATTGAAATTTGAACCCAAATATATGTGCATTTCAGTGGAAGAGAATCCAGACATCACTGTCTGGAAAAAGCAGTGGATGGCAAATTGATTACACAGTTGAAAGTTAAGTGTGTGTCTAGGTATCGTCTGCAGGCTACAAGTCCCAACTTGCCTGGTATCTGGAAACTGGCATACCTCTGAACCTCTGTAGAGTGACTTAGTGTCCTCTCTCTCAGTCTCCTTTGCTGTATCTTCCTTCTCTGTCTTCCTGCCCCTTGTTTTTTTATTCTCTGCCCTGCCTCTCCTTTACCTTCCTGTTTACAGCTCTTTTCTATAATAATTTCCTCTATTGCTTAGTGAAATTTGTTTTCCTTCATCCATGTCCACCACTTCCCCCTCCTCTTCTTTCTACCTCCTTTATTCTCAGGGGTTAGGTCTCTTCTCCTCAGTCCTTAATGTTTAATCCCAATTAATCTTGATGATCTCTAGTGTGTTAGTCAGAAGCAGGTGGCAGGCCCCCTTCTCTCTCTCTGCATTCTGGGACAGCCAAGATGCTCAGATCAGGCACCATCTGTTGCATATATCTAGGCAATGGGTGAACAGTTTGCTCCTCTGGGGAGGCAGAGCTTACTGAGTACCCAAAAGTAATGTGGCTTATATGGACAACTTGATATATTGATATTGAGAGAGCTGTTGAATGGGGTCACGAGGGGTGGCGATGGGGAGCATAGAGTACAGGATGACATCAGCCATGAAGAGGTTTCCATGAGCACTGCTGCCCTAAGCCCGTCTGGGCTTCTTGGTGCTGTTGCCAATTCAAGAGCAGCCCAACAGATGGTTGGGATTTGCTACACTGGGATCAGAAGCCCTTGCAGTTCATAGGAGCAAACATTCCCCCTCTGTGAGTTGTCCTTTGACAAGGCTAAACCAATATCAGCTAGGAAAAATCAAACAGAAATAACAGGAGAAGAGGTGACCACCAGGATTGATGGATGTCAGAGACATGAAAGAGGAGTGTCTAGTAACCCAGACAAGGCTTTGGTCAGGTACAGAGTGGGGCTGTTAGGAAAATTCAATGGGGGGCACACTTGTTGTGTAAGTGTAGGCAAAGTGAAGGGCATAAGCATGTAAATATTAAGAGATCTGGAGCAGAAATATCAGAGAGCCACCATAGGCTAGAAACAAAGATGCAGAGATGGGAAAATGGCTTTATTGATCCCCATAAGAATAGGAACTGTGAAACAGGGCACCCTGACAGAATCTGTAATTACCTAGAATTGTAGTCTCTATCAGAAATAGCTACACAAACAAGAAGGGGAAAGGAAAGAATTACTCTTACATTTTCCTTTCCAGTATCCTGCCAGGGCATCCTACTGTCTTAGCACAGTTAGGACCCAGATGACAAGAAGAGAGGCGATGATCCTGTGGGGTCTCAGTGGGGCAGATTGAATCTGGCAGGCATCTGGCGGTGCAAATAGAGAACAGTTGGCTTAGGTCAGGCATATAGACACTCTGTATCACCTACATTGTGGAGAGTGCAACTCTGAACAAAAGTGGGCTCATCTCCTTTTAATACCTGTGTGCATGTAGCACACACAGAGTATGCTCTCTTGTGCAATTTTGTGATCGCATCCCTTTCTCTCCATTCAGATGTCTCTAAAAGGCCACTACATTTTTAGTCAAAAAATACACACATGTTTATTTCTGTCAAATGTGCTGCTCATCCCACCTAGACACCATCATTTCACAGTCGTTCAATGTCAGAAGAAGAGGAGCCAAGCTCATTGTACCCCTTTTTTGCTATTTTATAAAACATCACATTCTGTGGGTGTTTTACAGCCAATATAACTCTTAACTTTTGACGACATCTCAATATATACTCCTGGCTGCCCCCTGTTCTCTCCATTGTTTTCTCTAATCCTGACTCTGCACCAGTGCTTCCGTAGTCCAGCCTACTGCCAGCTCTTCCTGGACCATATTCTATGCTATGTTCCTAGGCAAACTTTTTTAATCTCATTCATGTTCTTTTCCTCTTCCTTCCCCTTTCTCTATTTTCCTCTGTATGAGCATGCGTGCACACGTATGTGTGCCAAAGCTGGAGGAAGACGTAGGGTGTCCTGTTCTATCACTCCAACTAACTCCCTGAGTGTTAGTGTTAAGGTTTTCATGCCCTGTGCTATCTCCCATGGCTTCCTATCATTTTGTTTTCTTAGGTTAGTTGATACTAGTTTTCTGCTACAACCTCTTGTATCATCATTTACTATTCAATTACACTGTGTGCTCGTTTTACAACTCACATTCATTTTCCAATTATTAAGTCATATTTATTATCCTTTCAGGATGACAAACATCCCAAGGTAATTTTGTTTGGTTCTTCCAAAGGGCTGCCATGATAAAATACTACAAATAAAGATTTTTCTTTACAATATTGAGGCTGAAAACCCAACATCAAAATGGAGGATCCCTTGGTGAAGTTCTCCTTCCCAACCTTCAGATACTGCCCTTGCTCTTTTCTGAAGTTTGTCTCTTCTGGTCTCCACACCTTTATTTTTTCCTCTCTTTCTCTGAGGGTTTCAGATAACTGCATCTTCTGAACATCTGACCATAGCCTAACTGTCTCTTCCAATTCTGGTCAAATCACTGTTTTCTGTGTATACGAAGTTAAATTTTTAACATGACACAGCTGCTCAACATCAAATTTTAACCTCTGGTTACAATTAGGCAGCCTGTAAGTGAAATCTCCTTGGATCACCTTCATAGACCTGACTTCAGATATCTGGGGAGAAGACAGCAAAAGATGTAGGTGAGGGAGCTGTAATGCCACCATATGGTTCATTTGCATTGTCAATTGTGTTTCTTAGCAATCTCACGCTCCCTGTGTCCCTGAAGATGGGGCTTCCCACAGAACCTAATATCCAAATCCACCCTCTGGTTTTGACTTACCTTGCAGACACATCTGTCTAAGTTGATAGTTCTTCCTGAGAAAATAAGAAGTGGGTTTTGAGAGGCTAGTCTGGAGAAATCTCTCCAAAGAAAACTGAATCCTCGCATATGCCATCTCGTGACACCAATTGGTAGGGAGCTACACCTGAGAAGAAATTTCCCAGCCTCTGCACGTGTGGGTGGAGGGAGACAGAGTTTGAAGATATCAAAGTCAGGCCGTCTTTGGGCATTTCTCAGAACAAAGGCACCGAAGCCATTTAGTTGTGTCCTGTTTCCTTCTTCTGTGTCCCTCCCCCTGCCTTTGATAATACCTCTCATCTTTTTCAACTCTTCCTCTTCCTGTTTTGTCTTTTTATCTTCTATGATTTCTCTTTGAATTTCTGATCTCATTTTCTCTATTCCCTGGGACTTCCTGTTGGTCTCATTTTGGAAATTGGAAACGTGGCCATGGATACCTCAGCAGAGGCTTGTTCTGCCTGCATTGGCAGATCTGCGGGCTTCACAAGCACTTGTTAGCATGGAGATAATCCTGTGACTTGCTTGGAGGCCTTGTTTTCTCCTTGATAAATTTGGGGTTGTGGAGTAATGTGATCTGCATCCCACAATGCTGTAGTTTTATCACTAAGCTATTGTGTTACCTTTACAGGCACTGTCCCCATTCAAGCCACCATTAATCATGGGTGACTATGCAGAAATCTTAGTCCCTGTCTCCTTTCCTGTTTCCAAGTCACTATTACTTACTTTCATTAGTAATAGTTAGCAATGAGACTTAATTTACATATGCCTGCTTCTTCTTTAAAGCCATTAAGTGATAAGTCTTTGCCACTTTGATGAAATCTAAACTAAATATTGTGTATAAGGTGCCTTCATCCTCCTGCTCCATTCCTTACTGCCCTCTGTGTGCAAACTCCATTGAACTCACGCTGCTCTCCTTTCTTTTACTGAAGGATCTCACCTCTCTCCTTTGTCACTGTCCTTGGCTTAGGTCACTCTCATCCCAAATGTCTTCTCACTCCTACCATGTTCTACGGTCCGGGCCACTCATCATTATGGCCTCCATTATAATAGTGCCTTTTCCAAGAAGGCTGCCTTGACTTTCTGGATGGCTGAAGTACCTTGTTTCATAGTCTATATTCAGAATGGTAATATTGGAACTACCCATATGTGTGTGTGTGTGTGTGTGTGTGTGTGTGTATTAGGAATTATTTGAAACATGGATTGCGCCTAAAATTTTACCATCATATCCCAAGGTTTTATACCAATGCTGAAAATCTAGTAGGTGATAGATAGGGCCAACATTGTGTCTGTCCTTATGCTAGTGAGTTGACTTGTAGTTTAGAATCATTACTGGGTCAAAGATGGAGTTTCAGAGAGTCCAGGTGACCAGTCCCAGTCCCTCAGGGACTGAGAGTGGGCCAAGCCTTAACCTCAGCCCCCATTGCCACCCTGTAGCGGCAGCTGAGGCGACACAGGAGACAGTGGAGTCCCTGATGCGGAAGTTCAAGGAGAGTTTCCGTGCTAACACACCAGTGGAGATCGGTCAACTGCAGCCAGCCTTGCACAGTGCCTCTGCAGGGAAGAGGAAGCGGAGGAACAAATCTCGAGGTAGGAACTCCTGGCACCCGAGCCAGAAGACAGAGTCTGTCCTATGTTCCCAGATCCTGCGGATTTTCTCCGTCACCTCCTCCTTGTTCCTATCATTTCTGGCACTTTCCTTCTTTTAAGCCTCCTTGAAGATAACCGGGTATGCCCGTGGGGTTAGAGATAGCCTCCCTGAGACTCATGCTTCCTCATTGAAGGATGACAATGAACACTCCAAATTTTAAAGTGGTCTTGAAGATGAAAGAGAATGTACGGGAAGTTCCTCTTACCGGAACTGCAAGCAGCAGGTACTCTCTTCAAGGGCATCCCTACAAAGACTGCAAGAGAAGCAGAGCATTCTTGTAGAAGGCATGAGAACTGTTGAGTGTGAGTCAGAGCCAGGAGCACTGTCGTGGAACCCCATTTTACAATCCTGAAGAATGCAGGGATTGAGAGTGTTAGCATTACAGATTAGATGGAATTTATTTCCATTCTGCTTCTGTGTCTGCTGGATACTTCCATTAGACTTGGCTAAGGTATACCTGTCTCACAGCATAGGAACCTCTCACACCATGATTCATCCCCCCTTCTTATTCTCGTTTTTCCTCCATCTTCTTGCATCATCATTTCCAGTGACCACCCATGTGACTTTGTACATGGGAGGACCCCACTTGTCAACGTCTGATTTCTGAAGCTGCTCTTCTGTTTATTCGGGCTACTCAGTGATCTTTGGCTCACTCCTCTTCTTTGGATCTCTCACCCATCCATTTACTGAACTTCATTCCTACATTACCCTTCACATGTTCATGTTTATGAATATGGCCTTCAAAACTACAAGGTGTCCACAGCTTTACTGTTTCTACTGGATCTGTGTGCTCTGACCTCCGCACTCCTTCTCTCTGTGTGTCACAAATAAATAAAGTGACCCCTATACATTATCCTTTCCAATTCAGTCACACCTAACTTATTCTAGGCAACAGGCTAATTGATATATACGCCTTACTCAGCAGAACCCTTTTCTGGTAGGTATAATAATTCACATTTTATGGATGATCTCATCAAGACAGAAAAACAACGGTGATGTGGCAGAGGGTTCACCACAACAATGCTCTCAACCTTCCTAATGCCACAACCTTTCCCTACTGTTCCTTTTGTTGTGGTTGACCACCAACCATAAAGTTATTTTATTGCTACTTCATAACTGTAACTTTGTTGCTAATATGAATCATAATGTAGATATCTGATATGCAGGATATCTGATTTTCAAGCACTATGAAAGAGTCATGATCCACAGGTTGACTGCCATAGAAAGAGATAGAGACAGAAAATGTCAACCAACCAGTGTCCCAAACCTAGTCGCTTGTCTACCATGTCCTGTACTTATAAAATCCAAAGTATCTTTCCAAACACTTGAATGGCACACTCCATGACAACATCATTAATTGTGGCAGTCACAACTCACTATGAAGCCTCCAGGATTTTCTTTCTATATGTTAGTACTGTTTCCCTGGGTATATGATAATTTCTTCTCTATGGCTTCTTCCTTAGATCAACAGAGTTCTTGGGGTTGTCCTCCTAGTTGAATAGTATTTACAGCTAGATCCAAATCACTGTTTGAAAACATGGCGGGGTGGTAGTGATGTTTTGATGATGTTTACGTCCTGATTCTGTGAAATTTGAATCAGAGTGGTGGAAAGGCAAACACGATCTTCATGTTTATGGGAGGTCATACATCAGAGCAATTACAGAATTCATTTTTAGATCTCACTTAGTAAACAGCAGGTTCCCTAAAATCAGCAGTGACCATGGTCTAATGCTGACCCAGACACCTTCAATGTGTAGGACTTTGGAAAAGTCATCGTTTTCACTGAGTTTCAGTTCTCCAGTTCCCTAAAATGGGACTCGTTAGACTGCGAGTATGCTATAGCAGTCTAGTAACATGGTGAGAAGGATACACGGGAAGCGCCTAAGTGCTGTCCTGTGTGTTTTCCTGGGTTGCACACTCAGGTCACTTCAAAACCTCGCCCAACTTTACCTATACATCTTTATTCTTTCAAGTTTACCAAACATGCTCCATGAAACCTACTTGACTTCAATCAAGTAACTCCTTCTCTCTTCTTGAAGACTAATCTGATGTCATGTCTTCATTTATTCTTAACATCTTTATGTCACCCAACCCTTCAAAACTATCCATTTTATGCTTCACTGTTTTTATAAGCAGACTCCAACTGTAAGACAATTGTGCAGATTTTCATATTATGTCAGTATTTTAAAAACTGCACATAGAGTTCTTTAGTTTCATTGTTCCTGAATATTTGACCTTCACTTTGTAATCTCTCTGTTCCCTATGAGAGCAAAATTTCAGGATGAGATTGTTAATGGATATAAGACAATTGACCTAGACTGGGAATTAATACTAAATTATCACTACTTGCTGGTTAGAAGAAGTCTCTGCATTCTAATGAATAAATGCAAGTGTAGCTCCTCGATGTGTGTAAAAATAAAAAAAAAAACCTTCTGCATTTTCTTGTCACCTCAGGACTGCTGTCACTTCTTGCTTCCTCTCTATAACTATTCCTGCCTGGGATTCAGTCTCCCTAGGCAGAGCAGCTAGAGTACTTCCTTCAGAATCCTAGAGCAGTTAAAATTTGCTTATGACTTGGGTAGTTTCTCATTCTCCTTGGAATAAAATCTGAACTCTTAACTCTGAAGTGCGGGCCCTGTATGATTATGTTCTCATTCCTACTCCCATCTCTAATACTATCTGCTCTGATTTCTATTGCATTTTAAGCAAACTGGCTGCAGCCATGCTTCATGAGCACAGATAGCACATCCTGTCTTCAGGGCCTGGGAACTCAAGAGTGCTTCTGTGCATCGTTCTCTCTGCATCTTCCATTACCAACAGCTACTGTCCTACCTGGCTCCTTTTCACCTTTCATCTCTCGGCTCAGATATCAGCTCTTTCTCCCACATTGATCAGTCAATTTATTTTTCTCCTTTTGAATTGGCAAGTGTATGTGATATTGGCATGCATATATATGGAATATAGCCTGTGATTATTTTTCTTTGCTTGTTTGCTGTCTTCCTCTCTCTAATAGATGATTCATATTTATAAATTTAAAGTATATAAAGTATTTAACAAATGCATGCCGAATATATGAGCATCTGAAATAGCTTCCAGTTTTTGGAATTGACAGTATGAAAATGCTCCTTGCTGAACAAAAGCAACCTGATACTGATCTCCCAAAAATGTTTCTCTATGATGGACAGAAAGACTTACTGAAAAAATAGTGATCAAACCAATGTCATTAAAGCATTGCTTAAATAGTTCACAAGCAATGCAGTGGTGTTTCTGTAGCCACCACTGTATCTGGATGCTGCTGAAGAGGAGGAGGAGTCACAGTGTACAATCATACCCATTCACCACAAGCTGGAGAGATGACTCAGCAGGGGATGCACTTGCTTGCAATCATGAAGCCCTTAGCTCAGATCCCCCATATCCATGTAATAATCCAGGTGTTCTGGTGCACACCTGTTATCCCCGTGCTGGGAAGGCAGAGGCAGAAGTGTTCCTGGGAATTATTGGACAACTACTTTTGCTGAATTAATGAACTCCAGTTGAGGAAGAGAGTTTGTCTCCTAAAATAAGGTGAAAACTGATAGAAAAGGAAAATAGTTGTTGTTCTCTTATCCCCACATATGTAACTGTGCATGTACAAGAACGAATACACATTTATAACACACACACACACACACACACATTTTCTTGGAGAGCAATACTTCACAATCAAAATTCTGTATACACCATCTTTTTGGAGATTCCTACATTGCTTTTAATTCTGTTAAGACTCTGGAAAGGCTGCGGTACAAAAAGCAAGGCTGCTCTGTTGAATTCACTGTGATACCATCTTGCCTGCAGACTCTATTTTTACCCTGGAACATTTATTAACATCTCATCCAACAGAAGCATCCCCAGAAACACAACTTAGAAATGCCCCATTACCCGTCACAGGCCACCAGAAAGCTTAAATATGAGATGGTCTGATTTCCCAGTCTTTCGTTGTATCATTCCCCCTCTACCGCTGAGGTGGCTGTGGGCCTTCTGGCCCAGAATGAGAGCACCTGGCCTCTCTCTGCTTCATTAGGCTCCACGCCCAAAGTGTGGTGCCCAGTAGTTCCCAACAGATGGAATGGGTAGCTGAGAACCAGTGTCGTGGAATTGAGCACATGGCTAAAAGCAGTTCCAAGGTACTTCCATAGCTCGGGTTCCCTCCTAAGAGGCCTGGTAGGTGCTAAGCTGTAGCATACCTCATCAGACAAGGAAGACTATTGGAGGTCTTAATTGCCCCCTTCATGTTTGTGACAGGGTTTTATGAGGCAGCTGTTAAGTATCCACTCCCAGGTGACCTGAAGGCTGTGAAAAGGAGGGGTTATATTCAAATAGAGCTGAGGAGGGTTTCTTCAAATGAGAGGGAGAGCTTACTGAGGTTCTTTCATTTTAGGCAATAGTTTCTTTTAATTAATTTTTATTTAAATTAAAAACTGTCTTATTTTATCTACCGAGTTCCCCTCCCTCCCACCCTCCCATGCCCCCCATCAAGTCCCATCCCACTCCCCATACACTTCTCAGGGAGGGTGAGACCTCCCATGGGGATCATCAAAGTCTGTCACATCATTTGGGGCAGTGCCTAGGCCCTCTCCTTGTGTGTCTAGGCTGAGAGAGTATCCTTCCATAGGGAATGGATTCCCAAAGTCCATTTGTACACTATGGATAAATACTGTTCCACTGTTAGAGGCCCCACAGACTGCCCAGGCCTCCCAACTGACGCCCACCTTCATGGGGCCTGGTTTGGTCCTATGCTGGTTCCCAAGCTGTCAGACTGGAGTCCTTGAGCTACCACTTGCTCAGGTGAGCTGTTTCTTTGGGTTTCCCCACCATGGTCTTGACCCCTTTGCTCATCACTCCTCCCACTCTACAACTGGATTCCAGGAGTTGGTCTCAGGGTTTAGCTGTGGATCTCTGC